CCGCCTTCCTTCCCTAACAGATTTATACGCTCTCCATGTCATTCTACTTTGATCCATTCTCTCTAAATGACCAAACCACCTCAACAACCCCTCTTCTGCCCTCTGACTAATACTTTTATTAGCTTCACACCTTCTCCTAATTTCCACACTCTGAGATTTCTACATAATATTTACACCACACATTGCCCTTAGACAGGACATCTCCACTGCCTCCAACCGCCTCCTTGCTGCAGCATTTACAACCCAAGCTTCATACCCATATAACAGTGTTGGTACTACTATCTTTCATACATTCCCTTCTTCGCCTCCATAGATAACGTTTTTTTGTCTCCACATATACCTCAATGCACCACTCACCTTTTTTCCCTCATCAATTCTATGATTAACCTCATCCTTCATAAATCCATCCGCTGACACATCAACTCCCAAATATCTGAAAACATTCACTTCTTCCATACTCCTCCCTAATTTGATATCCAATTTTTCTTTATCTAAATCATTTGATACCCTCATCACCTTACTCTTTTCTATGTTCACTTTCAACTTTCTACCTTTACACACACTCCCAAACTCGTCCACTAACCTTTGCAATTTTTCTTTAGACTCTCCCATAAGCACAGTATCATCAGCAACAAGTAACTGTGTCAATTCCCATTTTGTATTTGATTCCCTATAATTTAATCCCACCCCTCTCCTGAACACCCTAGCATTTACTTCTTTTACAACCCCATCTGTAAATATATTAAACTTCCATGGTGACATTACACATCCCTGTCTAAGACCTACTTTTACCAGGAAGTAGTCTCCCTCTCTTCTACACACCCTAACCTGAGCCTCACTATTCTCTTAAAAACTCTTTACAGCATTTAGTAACTTACCACCTATTCCATATACTTGCAACATCTGCCACATTGCTCCCCTATCCACTCTATCATATGCCTTTTCTAAATCCATAAATGCAATAAAAACTTCCCTACCTTTATCTAAATACTGTTCACATATATGCTTCAATATAAACACTCGATCTACACATCCCATACCCACTCTAAAACCTCCTTGCTCATCTGCAATCCTACATTGTGTCTTGCCTCTAATTCTTTCAATCTTATCTTCCTTTATTGTGCAGCTTTCAAAAAGAGTGGAGATTCAGTGATCCTGATCTGCCTTCATAAGAAAGATTTCATACCCAGTGGCTTAACTTCATTATCCTTCTTCATTTATGAAGAAGAATGCAAGGAGGGAAGAGTATATGGAGAAAAAGAGAGAGGTTAAGAGAGTGGTGAAGCAATGTAAAAAGAGAGCAAATGAGAGAGTGGGTGAGATGTTATCAACAAATTTTTGTTGAAAATAAGAAAAAGTTTTGGAGTGAGATTAACAAGTTAAGAAAGCCTAGAGAACAAATGGATTTGTCAGTTAAAAATAGGAGAGGAGAGTTATTAAATGGAGAGTTAGAGGTATTGGGAAGATGGAGGGAATATTTTGAGGAATTGTTAAATGTTGATGAAGATAGGGAAGCTGTGATTTCGTGTATAGGACAAGGAGGAATAACATCTTGTAGGAGTGAGGAAGAGCCAGTTGTGAGTGTGGGGGAAGTTCGTGAGGCAGTAGGTAAAATGAAAGGGGGTAAGGCAGCCGGGATTGATGGGATAAAGATAGAAATGTTAAAAGCAGGTGGGGATATAGTTTTGGAGTGGTTGGTGCAATTATTTAATAAATGTATGGAAGAGGGTAAGGTACCTAGGGATTGGCAGAGAGCATGCATAGTTCCTTTGTATAAAGGCAAAGGGGATAAAAGAGAGTGCAAAAATTATAGGGGGATAAGTCTGCTAAGTATACCTGGTAAAGTGTATGGTAGAGTTATTATTGAAAGAATTAAGAGTAAAACGGAGAATAGGATAGCAGATGAACAAGGAGGCTTTAGGAAAGGTAGGGGGTGTGTGGACCAGGTGTTTACAGTGAAACATATAAGTGAACAGTATTTAGATAAGGCTAAAGAGGTCTTTGTGGCATTTATGAATTTGGAAAAGGCGTATGACAAGGCGGATAGGGGGGCAATGTGGCAGATGTTGCAAGTGTATGGTGTAGGAGGTAGGTTACTGAAAGCAGTGAAGAGTTTTTATGAGGATAGTGAGGCTCAAGTTAGAGTATGTAGGAAAGAGGGAAATTTTTTCCCAGTAAAAGTAGGCCTTAGACAACAAGGATGTGTGATGTCACCGTGGTTGTTTAATATATTTATAGATGGGGTTGTAAGAGAAGTAAATGCGAGGGTCTTGGCAAGAGGCGTGGAGTTAAAAGATAAAGAATCACACACAAAGTGGGAGTTGTCACAGCTGCTCTTTGCTGATGACACTGTGCTCTTGGGAGATTCTGAAGAGAAGTTGCAGAGATTGGTGGATGAATTTGGTAGGGTGTGCAAAAGAAGAAAATTAAAGGTGAATACAGGAAAGAGTAAGGTTATGAGGATAACCCAAAGATTAGGTGATGAAAGATTGAATATCAGATTGGAGGGAGAGAGTATGGAGGAGGTGAATGTATTCAGATATTTGGGAGTGGACGTGTCAGCGGATGGGTCTATGAAAGATGAGGTGAATCATAGAATTGATGAGGGGAAAAGAGTGAGTGGTGCACTTAGGAGTCTGTGGAGACAAAGAACTTTGTCCTTGGAGGCAAAGAGGGGAATGTATGAGAGTATAGTTTTACCAACGCTCTTATATGGGTGTGAAGCATGGGTGATGAATGTTGCAGCGAGGAGAAGGCTGGAGGCAGTGGAGATGTCATGTCTGAGGGCAATGTGTGGTGTGAATATAATGCAGAGAATTCATAGTTTGGAAGTTAGGAGGAGGTGCGGGATTACCAAAACTGTTGTCCAGAGGGCTGAGGAAGGGTTGTTGAGGTGGTTCGGACATGTAGAGAGAATGGAGCGAAACAGAATGACTTCAAGAGTGTATCAGTCTGTAGTGGAAGGAAGGCGGGGTAGGGGTCGGCCTAGGAAAGGTTGGAGAGAGGGGGTGAGGGGGTAAGGGAGGTTTTGTGTGCGAGGGGCTTGGACTTCCAGCAGGCATGTGTGAGTGTGTTTGATAGGAGTGAATGGAGACAAATGGTTTTTAATGCTTGACGTGCTGTTGGAGTGTGAGCAAAGTAACATTTATGAAGGGGTTCAGGGAAACCGGCATACCGGACTTGAGTCCTGGAGATGGGAAGTACAGTGCCTGCACTCTGAAGGAGGGGTGTTAATGTTGCAGTTTAAAAACTGTAGTGTAAAGCACCCTTCTGGCAAGACAGTGATAGAGTGAATGATGGTGAAAGTTTTTCTTTTTCGGGCCACCCTGCCTTGGTGGGAATCGGCCAGTGTGATAATAAAATAAATAAAAAATTTATGATGAAATATGCACATCTAATTAAGTTACTTCCTTTTGAGTTTTACAAAAGAGCTCTAGAATAGAGCAGCACTAATAGACGTACTGACCCATTCTAGGAAGGTCTTTCCACTCCTTACCACTTCCACTTGTGTATGTTGTAGTTACTGCTTATCCACTAGCCCTTCTGGGAGGGCTAAGTTCCTCAGAGGGCTTAGAGATACCCCCTTTACTGGAGAATTTTCCCCACAAAGGAGTAAGGTGATGAGGATACCAAAAGAAATAGGTAACGAAAGATTGGATATCAGGTTGGAGGGAGAGAGTATGGAGGAGGTGAATGTATTAAAATATTTAGGAGTGGACGTGTCAGCAGATGGGTCTATGAAAGATGAGGTGAATCATAGAATTGACGAGGGGAAAAAGGTGAATGGTGCACTGAGGAGTCTGTGGAGACAAAGAACTTTGACCATGGAAGCAAAGAGGGAAATGTATGAGAGTATAGTTATACCAGTGCTCTTATATGTGTGTGAATCATGGGTGGTGAATGTTGCAACAAGGAGAAGGCTGGAGACAGTGGAGATGTCATGTCCGAGGACAATGTGTGGTGTGAATATAATGCAGAGAATTCGTAGTTTGGAAATTAGAAGGAGGTGTGGGATTACCAAAATTATTATTCAGAGGGCTGAGGAGGGGTTGTTAAGGTGGTTCAAACATGTGGAGAGGATGGAACAAAATAGAATGACTTTGAGAGTGTATAAATCTGTACTGGAGGGAAGGCGGGGTAGAGGTTGGCCTAGGAAAGATTGGAGAGAGAGGGTAAAAGTACATCATGCATATTGGGGTAGACAGAAGATTAAGTTTAAAGGGCTATCATGTCTAAACAATTGACCATTTTTCAGATTATTGAGCTTACAAATTTTCTTCTGATGGGTGAGTATATTTAATAAACTTGCACTTAACTTGTACAATGCTCAACGAAGCAGATCCATTTTTAAATGCATTTAACTCCTGCAGTATATAGGCCCTCTCCCAATTTTAGCATAATATAATGCTGTATGTCTTAGAGTTTTGAAACTACTATGTGCTAATAGTGACAGCACAGGTCAAGCAAACTATAAATATACTGTACCTTGAATGTAGCATAAAGTAGACCTTCACCTCATCTCACATCCAACCCCCAGTTGAATGGCTGAAATTTTGAGACATTGTAATTGACTAAGAAGAATTCCGACCTAATAAAGGGGCTTGAAATATTACTTTGGCTCATGTTTAGTGGGCTATATTTTATAGGGGACACTTTTTGCCTGAAATTCTCTGTATTGTGGCTGAAACTTTAATAATATTGGGTAGGGAGATTGGGCTGCGCAGGTTGTGTCTCATGCCTTAATGTACACAGGTTATGAACATTTTCCGTTTGGAAATCATCAAAAATTAAAACTTCCTCTTTTGTGAATAAAAAATCATAATACTATCTGGTACGAAATTTTCGGTAAAATCAGTCAGCAACTTTTAGAACAATTTGTAATTTCAGATAACACCTTAAGGGAAGATTTTAATTTCACTTAGAAATTGCTGTAACTTAGTATAGTACATAATTTCATAGGATAACTTAACTAACTTTTTTTTCTGTCTTTCTCTTCTTAGGCAAAAGTGTCTTCTTGTGAGACCTGCAGTGGTATCTTGTCACCTGTCACAGGCCCACCAGTAGAGCTGGGTATTGAGGAATCTCCACTTGTGACCAAGCTCAACCAGCAGGTCCGTGAATTGGAACTGGAGTTGGCACAAACCAAGTTAGCACTTGTAGAGTCAGAGTGTAAAAATCAGGTTAGTGAATTTAATGTTGACTCTTGTAAAGTTTTTTCTCTAGTGATGTAGTTGATAATAATTTGTGTTAAGCGCTAAACTCGTATAGGTCATTCAGTGCAAGACGAGGTGGAGGCTTGATCCTTCATCTGCTGAGTGCTAGACAGGTTCACTTCCCATTTGTACTCACCTGTATAGTGATGTTGTTGAGAGATTTCACATACTAAGCAGATTGTAAAGACTCATATTTAAGTATGATTAAAGAACCAAAAAATTAGTTTTCATGAATATATAGTCAGCCATTCAAATTTTCAAGGGTTACATTACTAGCAGTCACAGTGATTCCAGAAACTGAAAACTGCACTACTAAATACTGCCCATGTAATACATTTTGTTTTATATTTGGGCTCATTAATTGTTTCAAAAGCCATACTTCTTTTAATATCATTCTAGCCTCATTAATACATGGTTGACATAAGAAAGAATGACCCTAAGGAAACAGAGAACATTTTCAGTAAAGTTCTATTTTAGTTTTCAATTTAGGGGTAGTATGCCAAGCCAAAGCAATAATGTGATATTAGAATTTATTTATGAGAGACCCCTAATTAAAAATGTTGTGTACCAGTAATCAGAATCATAAAATTTAGAATATTGCAAATTTGTTGGGCTGACTGTAATCTGTATTTGTTGAGGATATTTTCATCTACCTGTGCTTCTTATTGTGTAAACAATAAACACTTAACTTTTGGAAATAATTTTATCATGAGGTGGCTTATCAGTCAGTTTCTCTGGTATTTGCATTTTGAGTACAGTACAAGGCAAGTATAACTAGCTTATCATCATATGAAATATTTTAGAGTTTTCTCTGTAGAGTATTTACCCAAAATTTGAGAGAATATCTTGTTGCAGGATCTTACACATCAGCTGAGCACAGCAATGACAGAGTTACAGGCCACAAAGAATACCTGGTTCCAAAAGACACTCACTTCGATTTCATCATTAAAGGAACGCACAGCCTCTACAGGTGGAAGTGTCATTGGTAATAATCCTTATGGCAGTGCTGCAGTGGGACATAGTAGCCTGCAGCGTCAGCATAGCAGAGACAGTAACTCAGAGAAAATGTAGATTTACCTACTAATGTGTTTACAGAATTTAGACCTGCCTTCATTTATTACAAATTAAAAGGATTTATTTGTGAATATTTGGGAGAGATAGTGATTAAAACAATCAAAAGTGACTGCTTTGCAGATATTTATGAAAAGATGTGAATTATAATTAATTTTGGCATACTGTACGTGATTTGGATGAAAATATTGTCTGTACTACAGATAAATTATAAGATACAGTTTGGTAGATGCTTACTAGATACATGCCCTTTGTGAGAAATTTTGGGTTTATGATAAATATGAGGACATTACTTAATTATCATATAACCCAAGTTAATAAGTTACTGTTGTTTATAAAAAAGTCCTTTTTGTTTCAGACAATATTAAGTGAGATAGAGAGAGAATGCATCATAAAATGCATTCTTTTTACATAGATATGAACAGTTATGATTGAAGGCTGCCATAGTGTTTTCACTTCTGTGTAAATAATGAATATTACCAGCTATATCTTGGTGTGTATGAATGATTGCCTGCTGAGAGATAAGTCAAGTGTGTTTATTTTTGTAATTACACTATATTCTATAGTAACCAAGCAACAGCTGTTCTAAAGTAATCATTAGATTCTCCACGATCCTTTATGCAAGTAGCAATTATTTTGTGTGTACACTGGTATAAATACTTAGTCTTGCAATATAAACTGACTATTGTCAGTGTCATTTCACTTCATGAGGATATTATTCTATGATTCAGTTTCTGTATACTTGTGTACCATTGAAAATTCACCATAAAAAAATATGCATATAAAGAGTCCATAGAGTATATTTCTGTGGTGGAATACCCTAGGAGACCCACCTGGAATATATTGCAGTAATATGCCCAGTAAGGTTCATTGCTTGCTTTTAACAGCAATGTGTCTCCTTTGCCTCCAACTGCTTGTTGATGCTTACTAGCTGTAACCATCATTAGCTGGGAGCATTTGAGCTGAACCCCCAGCTGTCAGCCTTTGTTATTGCGTATACATTGATTTCACCTCTAGATGGATATTTCCTTCTTCACTTTGTGTTTTGCTGAGCTGCTGGGGGCCACAGAACTTCCTTTAGGATTTGTGGCAATCTGTATTACTATTCTAGAATCACTGGAATGGCCATTCATTCTGGCTTACTAGCAGTCCTTGGATTATTCCCAAACATGGTGTCTTAGAAGTGCTTAGTGTGAGATGGATCCTCATTTGTTAGTAATATAGTGTTTGATAATGCCCTTGTTTTGTAGGTCAGTGAATTCAACACCCACCAAGATGGCATAGATCCTATCTTCCTTGGCCATTAGCATCCTTTATCACATTTTCTCTTTAGATCTTCATTTAGCATGTATATCTGGAGGGAGTTATGGCTTTGTGGGGAGTGAGCTCCTACTCTTAACTTTCAACCAACCAACATGATTGAGCTTTGTCATATATAAATTTTAAGCTGCTTTTTGGAGTTAGCTTCAACTGAGTCACTGTTGAGCTCATTCCACTTATGACACTTACTCTGTGAATTACTACCTGATATACCTGTGATTCATATAGGTGTGTAATTTCAAACCAAGTTTTCATGTTGGATGAGAGTTCTTGTCTGTTTTTATGTTTACTGTTTTCTCTCCTGGTACTTAGTATGCATGTGATATGCATGCAGTAGCAGAATTTTCTGTGTGCAAGCCTGTGTCTTTGTGTGTGTCCATGTGTCTTGGTCAGCCCCTGCAGTCTGCCTCTAATCAACAATTGGTTCCACTGTCTTTGATCTTGGTTATGTTGCCATGTGAGCCCCCAGGGCACCTTATTGCAGAAAACTGCATTTTGAAGTTCAGTGTGAAATGTGTATTTCTACATCAGAGCTCTGAAGGACTGTTTCTAACACTTCCTCCAGCATTTGTCAGTTGACAATGAACTTGGTGCACTGTAATTACCAATATATCTACAGGAACAGGGCTATGACTGTGAAGTCCCATGTATTTTTTTTATATGTATACTTCTTTCTTTCTTTCAACACACCGGCCGTATCCCACCGAGGCGGGGTGGCCCAAAAGGAAAAACGAAAGTTTCTCCTTTTACATTTAGTAATATATACAGGAGAAGGGGTTACTAGACCCTTCCTCCTGGCATTTTAGTCGCCTCTTACAACACGCATGGAGATAAGAGGAAATAGACAAGAACAAGAACTAGAAAGAAAATAGAAGAAAACCCAGAGGGGTATGTATATATATGCTTGTACATGTATGTGCAGTGTGACCTAAGTGTAAGTAAAAGTAGCAAGACGTACCTGAAATCTTGCATGTTTATGAAACAGAAAAAAAGACACCAGCAATCCTATCATCATGTAAAACAATTACAGGCTTTCGTTTTACACTCACTTGGCAGGACGGTAGTACTTCCCTGGGCGGTTGCTGTCTACCAACCTACTACCTAGGTTATATGTGTACATATGTATATATTTTTTTTCCTTCCCCTACAGATTTATACGCTCTCCATGTCATTCTACTTTGATCCATTGTCTCTAAATGACCAAACCACCTCAACAACCCCTCTTCAGTATTAGTCAGAGGGCTAAAGAGGGGTTGTTGAGGTGGTTTGGTCATTTAGAGAGAATGGATCAAAGTAGAATGACATGGAGAGCATATAAATCTGTCGGGGAAGGAAGGCGGGGTAGGGGTCGTCCTTGAAAAGGTTGGAAGGAAGGGGTAAGGGAGGTTTTGTGGGCGAGGGGCTTGGACTTCCAGTAAGCGTGCGTGAGCGTGTTGGATAGGAGTGAATGGAGATGAATGGTATTTGGGACCTGACGAGCTGTTGGAGTTTGAGCAGGGTAATGTTTAGTGAAGGGATTCAGGGAAACCGGTTATTTTTATATAGCCGGACTTGAGTCCTGGAAATGGGAAGTACAATGCCTGCACTTTAAAGGAGGGGTTTTGGGATATTGGCAGTTTGGAGGGATTTGTTGTGTTATCCTTTTACTGGTAGCTTCTAAACGGTTGGTTCTGAACACCTCCCGCAAGAGAAGTGATTATGTGTGAGTGAGGGTGAAAGTGTTGAATGATGATGAAAGTATTTTCTCTTTGGGGATTTTCTTTCTTTTTGGGTCACCCTGCTTCGGTGGGAGACGGCCAATTTGTTAATTTTTTTTTTTTTTTTACAAGCTTGGGTTGTGGGTAAGAAGCATGGCAAGGGGTCTAATATGGTGAGGTTTTAAATTGGAAACCGAATTTTTTTAAGATGGGTTGGGGTTGGGGGAGCTTTTTGTGCTCGTGAAATGGGAAAATTTAGGTTTGTTTAGAATTTTTACATAGGTACAAAAAAATATATGAAAGAGCTTAAATTACAATTAAAAAAACTTGGGTGTTTTACATTTTGTTTTGGGTTTTTTTCCTTTTTAGCCCCCAATGGGAGAAAATGGAAGGGGAATTTATTATAAGCGATGGTTTGAAGAGGAAGGGAAAAATGAGGAAGAAAGGTGAGTAGGAAGCCCGATTTCTGTTTTATTAATAAATTTTTAAAAGGAGGGAAACTTTTGTTTTTCCTTTTGGGGCACACCGCCTCAGGGGGAAAACGGGGGTGTTTTGAAAAAAAAATTTTTATTTTTATAACCCAGATTTTGGGTCCGGGAAAAAGGGGGAAAAACAATGCCTGCACTTTAAAGGGGGGGTTTTCGGGATTTAATTTTTAGGGGGAAATTTTGTTTTTTATTTTTTAACATTATGTTTCTAAACTGTTGTTTTCGAGCGCCTCTGAAAAAAACAGTGATTATGTGTGAGTGAGATGAAAGGTTGAATATGAAAGTATTTTTTTTTTGGGGGTTTTTTCTTTTTTTTTGGGTCCCCCCTTTCCTTGGTGGGAGACGGCCCGGGACCTTTTGAAAAAAAAAAAAAAAAACATTTTTTTTTTTTTCAACAAGTCCCCAAACTCCCACCGAGGAAATATTTTGGGAAACCCAAGGGGGGCTGGGTAACCTTTCCCCCCCTTATGTATTACTAAATTTAAAAGAAGTTTTTCGTTTTTTTTTTTGGGGCCACCCTGCTTGGGTGGGATACTGCCATTTTGTTAAAAAAGAAGAAGAATATGGAATAGTTAAGCACTTTCTAACTCCTTCTCAAATCCATTCCTTTATTCATCAGGGGTGAATAAAATTTTAGAAAATACTATTTAAGCTTCATTTTTTTTTAATATAAAATTTCTGGCCCCCTTGTTCCCCCCCGTTAATGATGCTAAAAAAATCCCCTTTTTATTTATTCTTGCAAATACTTTTAGGGACTTTAAATCGGGTTATCATATGGGGCTCTTCATTGAACAGGTACTAAGAAAGCATCGAAAATTTGGCCCGGAGGCAAAGGAACACTTTACTAAAAATAGCCGGGGATGTATTTTACTAGGAAAGGAATGAGGTGTGGGCCCATTCCAGGTGGGGGCTTTTGGGGGGTTTGGGATGGGGGATGGCTTTTTTAAAACTTTAAAAAGAATTACCTGTACATGTATTTGGTTTACTTTTGAATAGCATCTTCTGTCACTTTTGGGCCTTTCCCACCCATTTTTTTTTCTGTCATAAACTTTATTTTATTTTATTGATTTTATATGAATTGAAGGAAGTATTTATTTTTTCAAAGGGCTTAAAAAATGAGGATAAAAAAAATTTTTTTTTTGTGTTTTTTTTCGTACAATGTATGGTAAGGCAAATTTTTATTTACCCCAAAATTTTCCCCCATTTTTTTTTATGGTAGATGTTTATAATTATTTTTTTTTTGGGAAAATAGGAAAACTGCCAACAAAAGGGGTAAACAAAAAACAATAACTAAGGCTAAGGGCCTTTTTTGTCACTTTGTCCAAGTGTAGTGACAGGGTAAAATTGGGGGTTTAATTTAAAATTTAGGTAAAAAATTGGCACACTTAGCAAAGGAGTCAAAAGGACAACTTTTTTTCTCCAATTTTTTAAAGAAATGTCCATTAAAGGTTCAATTTTTTCTAAGTGTTATTGCTACAAATTTAAAAAATACAAAGTTCTATTTTTTAAAATTTTCAAAGGTCACACTTCAACAAAACATTGTTTTTAAATTTTGGGTTTCTTTGCTGGGGTGTTGTGTTTTAAACCCTAGGGTTTCCCCTTTAAAAATTAAAAATTTTAAACTCAGGGATTTAGCTGGGTAGACAAGTTTAAAACAACTTGTCTTTAAAAAACCTTTAACACTCATGTGGTAGTGTAAATGTTTTTTATCAGTGGTGGTAATATTCATTGACTCTTGAATCAAAGATACAAATCTCAAGAATATTTCTAACTTGTTATTGTTTTGGGGGGATGAATCAAGTACTCTATATTCTTTTCATTGTGTGCAAATGTATAGTGTGTTAGTATTCTTGCATGCTTGTGTATATGCACCTGTGTAAGTATCTGTTTGTAACTACAAGAAAGGAGCTATGCTTGTGGTGTCCCAACTTCAGTGTTCAGCTTGTCATATAAGTTTTTTAAATGTTTCCAGTGGTTGTAGTGTATACTACTACCTCTTGGATACCATTCCAGCACTCAACACTTTCTGAAGAAACTTGTTCTGGTATTCTTTGGCACCACTTTTTTCTCTGCCTACTGTTGTGACTTGTTTCCCCTGTTGATGATGTTTAGAAATCTACATTGTATATTTTATATATATTCTCTCACATATGATCTACTAGGCATCAATTATGTCTCTTCTGTTCCTCCTATCAGTCAACAAAGGGAACCATTTTCCATTCTTTGGAATTTAAATTTCAATAGCAGTTTAGCTTTTTGAGGGTGGACACCACACTGCCATGGCATATATCAAGTTTGATAGTAACGTATATTGAGAACAGCTTTCCTAGCATTTCGTTATCCATATATCTGAAGGTTATTTAGAAATTTACCAGTATAGCATGAAAGTTTCTCTACTGCATTTATGCGATGTTTGGTTGACACTTGTTTATCTGTAATTATTCCTCAGTCCCTTTACCAACACTCAATATTTTATGTTAGTCTGTATTTTTTTTTCTATATTCATTTCTTTGATGTGCCATTTACTGACATAAATGTCTATCAACTATCCATCATTCCATTTGCTTAATTTATCCAAATGTTGTTGGGATTTCCTATTATATTTTTTTTTCTGCCCATTTCTTTGATGTGCCATTTAACTACATAAATTCCCATCAACTATCTATCATTTCGTTTCCTTAATTTATCTGAATGTAGGGATTTCCAATCATTTTTATTTCTTTGCACAAAATTTTTGCTTTATCTACAAATACAGTATATTCATAAAAGTGTTTTTATTCCTTCTGTCAAACCTTTTATATGTACTGTAAAAACTTGGCAGATCATTTGGGCAAGCATTAATCCTTACGGGATACTACTGATGACATTTCTTCACACACTTCATTTTCCTTTCAAGTGAAATGGATATAAGATTTTTCCTTTGTGGAAAGATGTAAGATTTTTAAATCAAAATAGTTGTAATATATCAGCTGTTTCTTCTATAAAAATTAGTGACTATTGTAGTAGATTTGAGGGTTTGATGTACAATACTCGTATGATTTTTAATATAAATCTGTTGTATTTGATAACAGATTTTTTTCTACAGTTGTTTTATCAACATCATTTTTTTTTTTTTTTTTTCAGATTTCTCAGTAATACTTGTCAATTAGACAGGCCTACTGTTAATGGGTGATTCATCCCTATGGTTTAAGTTTGGGATAGGTTTACAGTTTAAGGGTGGGGACAAGCTTATAGTGGGTAAGTAGGTTAAGGGTGAGACGAGCCTGTAATAGAAAAGGGTCCTTATCACTTTTCTATAAAACTGGCAACAAAACATGAAGTAAAGCACTCAGATGCAGCAGATACCTTTATTAACGACATCATATCTTCAACATGGTGGATACACTTACTATCTGCATTGTTTTGAGAATCTAAACATAAGAAAAGGGAAATTCAGGGGAGTGAGAGAATTCATAAATGCAGTGCAGTGTGATGGAAAACTGGAGGAAAATTCAGCTGATGGAGAAGCTATCTGGAAAATGCAGGGAGGCAGCTGAGAACTTTATACCCAGGAAAAAAGACATGGAAACAGCAAAGACAAAAAGAGTTCATGGTTCAACTAAAAATGTTGAGAGGACAAAAAAAAAG